TCTGCATCGAAATCCATATTTCTGAAACATCAACCACAATTATTCATATTAATAAGAATGAATGATTTGTGTAAATAAAGAAAGAAAGTCATCAGATGTGTCTTCTCCATATTTACTCGGAGAGCCATTATCTTTTTTTCGTCGACGTCTACATCATTTCTCACTACGCGGACGAACGCGCTTCCGAAATGTTTTTTCTGATTCTCATTGTCTGATCGACGTGACACAAAATATACTACTACTCTGGCATACATATAGATAGATTGTCCTTTTGACAAATTGTTCTCTACTCCTGCCACAAATGATTATTTATCATGGTATCGTTTGACACCACCTCCCATTTATGAAATATAGAAAAAATTCGGAGCGAAGCGCGTATGTTTGTATCGAAAGCTGTTATGAAATGTGACAATGATCGTAAGAAATGCCATTAGGGAAATACAAATGATATTTTTGTGACAATCGGTTTGCGAAATATTCATTAAGAACGAAATGAAGGATGGAATTGGAAAGAATAGACGTTATAGACGTACTCGTTTTCTAGTAGAAATGATGAATTATTAATTATAACTAACTAAAATTATTAATTTATAATTATAGTCATTTCGAGTTATGGTCCAAGGGGAGAAAGATGAAGTGTGTTTGTTCGAACAAGTTTTCATTATTGCATTGATTCAGTACCCTACAATACATGATTCATAGATCTAATTGTTTTTAAAGAGCAAAAAGTTTTTTGTTTAATTTCTTTTAATATAATAACGGTTAATTCTATACAGATACAGTATATATGTTCTTCAATTAATTTGTTGAGTACTTTGTTCATTATTTTGCTGAAATTTGAACATAAGTAGTTAATTACCAGCAATTACTTTTGTTTTTATGTGACAAGTATTTCTTCTCCTTTTTGGGTAAAATTCAAACAGATAAAGAAAAATCTAACTAACTAATAAAACAGAGTACGCGTTTACGTAATTATGAAATGTATTAAAACTCTCCTTCGAATAACTCAGGTTGTTGGGTTATAATTTAACCCTTGTATCTGTCGACTGTATTAAACACTGAATTTTGTTATTATGTATTTGTTGCACTTCTTATTACAATC